ACACTATATATAGATTAGTGACCGACAATAGTCACTGAACTATCAATTGTGGCTAGTAGGCCCTATTTTTTATTTTTTATTTTTTTACCTCTATAAATAGTTACTACCTTAACACTTCTTTTACACAACAACAACAACAACAACAGTTTTTACTCTCTTCAACATTCTATTCTCTATGTTCTACTACCTTTAATTTCAATATTCATTATTCTTACATCTTGCTCTGTCACATTCTCATATTTACTTACTTTACTATAAATCTATAATACAATTATAAATATTACATAGTACATATTCTATTTTTTATACATATACTTTATACACGTTGTCATTACAATTTACATTTTTGTAAATTACAATTATCCAATCCTACATATTCATTCGTCATTTCATCTTCATTCAAGTTCATATATTATCAAATGGATCCACAATCATTTTTTGAGGGCTTGTTCGGTAATCTCAACGACGTAACAATTCCCAAAAGTATTTCAAATTTGGATCCTCACGGAAGCAGTAATCCAATTTATTTGGATGACTTTGGTGTTCTTGAAGCGGAACGAGAGGAATTAGATATCCTCAATACAAGAGGGAAGCAAAAGGAAAAAACAGACAAAATGTTTGGATCACTTTAAATTGATTCCAACGCCCATGGTCGACGGAGTCGTAGAGTCTAAAGCAATATGTAAATATTATCAAACACGAATGGCATGACAAAAGGGCATTAGTACCAACCAACTCAACCGTCATTACAAAGTATATGCGATCAAACATGGGCTTGTTGGTGCCTCTCAAACAAAATTTTAATTTGGTAGTCCAACCGTCGATCATGCTTTTATGATACTTTGTACGTGGTGTATTCTGAGGAGAAACCTTAAATAGGAATGGTGAAGTTAATTGCTGATGCTGAGTTACCTCTAGCAATACCGGACAACCAACATTTCATCTTCTACATGAAAGAATATTTTCAATCGAGGTACGTTAAAGTAAGTACCTTCGTTCCAATACAATAGAATATTTTCTTAATGCAAAGACCCACTTTGATGCATGTATAAAATTATTACTTTTAAAATAATTGAATTTCCACACAATGCTAATAATATATTTAACGCTATTATGAGCATTATTGGAGAGTATCACTGAGAGAGTAAAATTCGTTCTTTTATATTTGACAACATTAGTGTTAATAAACCAACTATTGATAAGTTGTGCAGGGTATTGTAGTCTGCTTTCGGTGATTATTTATTTCATGTTCGTTGTGTGCATCATATTTTTAATTTAATTTTGCAAAATGGTTTGAAACATATTATGAATGAAATTTAAAGAATTAGGGGTACACTAATATATATCACGATTTCACCTAATAGAAAAAAGCATTTGAGGAATTTTGTACTGAATCTAGGATGACGAATACAAACACTTAAATCATAATATGCCTAATAGTGCATCAATTTAAAAAAAAATCGAAAAAAGTTATTGACTTTTGGCGAAAGTACAAACGATGATGGCCTATGGTTTTTATGATTGCAAAAATCTACTAACACCTCCAATTAGTATTGTAACTTCAAAATATGCTATTAGTGCAGGTAAGAGAATTAATGTGCGTGAAGGTTGGCAAGATGCTCATTTTCAACTGCAATATAATTATGTCAAAATTGCATGTCGTCAGGTAAGTGATATTTAATTTAATCATATTAATAAAATTTGTTATTTATAATATTGTTTTTAAATTTTTTTAAAAAAAATTGAACACTTAACAAGTTGTTCGTGTACAATTTTTAAGTTTGTCTACTCGAAATTTTAGTAGGCGATCTTAAACCTTAAAAAAGTAGGAGAAGTTTTATCTATAAAAAAACCATGAGCTCGCGGGCTGAAGCTTGGCTAAACCCACGAGCCACAAGGTCGAGGATCGAGCCAAGCTTGACCCTCAAGAAACAATTAAGCATAAGTTCGAGTTGTTCCAAACGAGCTACAAGCCGATTTTGTGCGCCGACGGCTTGGTCCATTGCCACCTCTACACTATTTTAATACAAACTAGCTTGTATGAAAAAAAAAAATATATATATATATATATATATATAGAAAATATGTAACATACATTAGTATTGAATAATAATGTAGAAAGATCAAATAAAATTTTTTTTTCCCCTTCAATTGTGTTGAGTACAATAATAATAAGTAATACTATTTACCATCATGATGATGAATACCGATAATGTCACAATTTATTATTCCTCACTTTATTTCTCTTTCTTGAGAACACGTCTCCTCGTTGCCCTCTCTTTCATAAAAATTGAAATGTCCAATCCTATTATTCCACATAAACTGTTACATTATAGATTTTTCAACATCATAATGATAAATAGTATTTTTCTAATATTAAAATGATTTCGAAAATTTCTATCACATTAAGAAAGAAACTAATTGCAAAGCATAATCTCATAGATAGGGTACTCTTACTAGTTATTTACGAAAATTCAACATTTTAGCCGATAAAATGAATTAGACGATATACACAAATAGTATAAAAAAAGGTTAAATACTTATTATTTACCATTGCCATTAACAACCTGCCAATTATTGACCAGTGATCAGCACCGCAAGAATGGCCACCACTCTGAGTAAGAAGTTGCAAGTGATGCATCAAATTTTCTTAGTGAGAAACTATTTATGAATTTTGGACCACCTTTTTCACTTTTATAAATTGCATATAGCATGACATGGATATATTTAGTACATTAACGAATTAAATAAAACAGAAAAAAATGAGTAATGTATTTATATATACATTCATTGGTTTTACTTTCGTAAAATTTTAATACTTAGTCCCCATATGACCCCCATTTTTTGAGTAAACTGTATTTTGAAATAGTGATTTTTTGGAAAATGTTTAGTTAAAAAATTAGGAAAAATTTTAAATTTATGTGTAAAATTATCTTATTGTAGAATTTGTGATTGGAAATTAATTTTGAAAAAATATACTTTAAAAAAAATGGGGGTCAAATAGGGGCTTAACATGAAATAGTTTACTTTAAATTTACACATATTAATTAATTTGGTACGGTATTTGCCTCAAGTTAATGGTATCATTGATGAGTCAAATATTGCAATCCCTAATTTTATACATTATAAATAATTTTATTTATAAATAGACAAAAATGAGTAATCGATAAATGAATAGTACTTATAAGTCCATTAAAATGCATGGTTGAATATGTTATACTGGCAACTTATTCAGTATCTTTTGAACTGGATGTTTGATGTTCTGAAAAATATGTATATCGATTTGGTGGGGATAATAACCTAAATGGCCACTGAACTTAAAAGTCGCTCCATTCATCACTATAATTTATAATTCCCATTCATCACTGCCCTCACGGTCCGTAAAAGATTCTACGAAATGCTAACGTGGTTGTATATGTGGCACTATGGCTCAAATGATTTGACATCTACGTATGCAGCCATGTGAGGTCAGTGATAAATGGGATTACAAATTGTAAAGTTTAGTAATGAATGGATAATTTTTAAAGTACAGTGATCTCATGGAAACATTTTGCAAAATTCAGTGACCATTTGGATTATTATCCACACATTCTCTAATAAAATAGTATTATAGGTAAAGTTAAAAATTTTCTTCATTTTTATACCATACATTTTTGGAATCGTGATTTTTTTTAGAGAATGTGTCTTTGAAAATGATTAGTATTTAGTCATGCCTTTTTTCCTACCCTCTATTAATTTCCTCTATATATATATACAAAAATGATCTCCTAAACACCGGTGACATGACATACCATTTAATTAATAAATTATTAAATTCATGGAACATACTATTAACTTATTCACCAATTAAATATAATTTAGATTAGTGATTTATTTATTTTTTTGGAAAAATGTATGGTTAAAAATAAGAAAAATTTTTGAATTTACGTGTAGTATTATTTTATTGAAAAATGTGTGGATAATAGATTAAATGGTTACTAAACTTTGCAAAAAGTTTTTACTAGATCATTAAATTTAAAAATCACCTCATTCATTATTAAACTTCGCAATTGTTAATTTCGTTCATCACAACCACGTGGTTACATACGTGGATGCCAAATCAGTTGAGACATAGTGTCACATATGTAGCCACATAGGCATTTCATCAATTTTTTTATGGAACACAAGGTCAGTGATGAGCGTGATTACAAATTGTAAAGTTTAGTGTTGAATGTGTTGATTTTTAAAGTTCAATTGGCCCATTGAAACCTTTTGAAAAGTTCGGTGATCTTTTGGGTTATTATCTCAAGTTGGTGAGTTCAATATTAGAATTAGACTTAGTACATGACTATTTTCAATAAAATAATATTACAAGTAAATCGAAAACTTTTCATTCTTTTACAACCTTCTATTTCAAATTAAAAAAAAAACATTATTTCTCTCATTATAATCAAAATTAATGGAGGCCAAACGGGGGGCTAGATTTGTTGGTGGCAAGCACCCAATACCTCGTCAAGTCCAAAGCTCCTAGCCTTCATTGAGATCGTATGTGGTTCATCGGAATATGCTTTTCATTCACCACTTACGTGACATATTTTGATCTCTCTCTTTCATGGTTTATTCGAATGAGAGTCCTATTCGTTATTTAAGAATTTTGGACAATTCATGCTATATTCACATGTAGTGCTTTGATTTAAACTTTCGACTCTATTTTTTTTGTGAGTCAAAATAAGCTGCATTATCCTTGAATGATCGATCAACAGATCCCTGAAAACGCATTTACTGCTGGGACATAGATTCACTGAATTGAAGGACTGAAAAAAGTTAACTGTAATTGTTTGTATCTGCAAATGGATTAATTAACCCCTCAGTAGAAATGGAATAGACTTTGTCCGAAGATAAATAACACCTCCACCCCACCTTCCACATCCCTTCAACTATTAATGCACATACTGTGTGTGAAAAGACCAGTCAAATGAAAAGCAAAATGCATGGGGATGAGCGTAGGAAAAGATTTTAGCAAAATTTGTATGTACCATCTCTCTCCTCATTATGTTTATATATACCTGAAACTCTTGTGAATTCCCTCATACCCACCCAACTTCTAAATCTCTCTTCCATCACTTTCCTGAAGCATTTTATTTTGAATTCCAAAGCAAAACAAAAAATGGCAGCCTTTTCATCAAATAATCTGCACCATCACCCTTTTCTTATTGACTCAGTTGTTCTGCAACCAAACTCTTCCATCATTAAGATTTTTGAACAACTAAACAATGCTGATACCACTGAATTTCATCAGGATATTGTCCCTGTCAATGGTGGTGTTCTTCAAAATAGATGCCTTCTTGACCAGAGTACAAAAGTTTCTCTCAGCAATAAAGAGTCTAATTCTTTGATGAGCATAAAAAACAAGTATAGTATGGAGTCTTCTTCAGTTTCTGATAAATATTTGAGTAGTGATCAACAAGTCTCTCAGAATATAACTTCCATGGTGGAGAAGAAGCAGCAGAGAAAACGAAAATTAATGAGGTCCTTATCAAATTCTGCTCAATCCAAGGTTAAACACTGTGCATGTAGTCCTAAAGTTTATAGTTTATTATTGAAAAAAAAAATCTTTTAAAAATCTTTTGGTAATTAGGATATGAGAGAAGTTAAGGGAAAGAAGCAAAAGAATACTGTAGACAAGAAGCAACCTGGAGAAGAGAAGAAGTCATCTGAAGAAGATCCAAAAGGATTTATTCATGTAAGAGCAAGAAGAGGTCAGGCAACTGATAGCCACAGCCTTGCAGAAAGGGTATACTGTTCATTAATCATTAATAGAAAGTTCTCTTCTTCTTCTTTTTTTCAATAATGTAGACTGTACAATGCAAAACGGTATTAATTAAAAAAGAACAATAAGTGAAAATATATAAGTAATTCTAATTTAGTTTTTCAAATGAATTCAGGTGAGGAGGGAGAAAATAAGTGAAAGAATGAAGGCACTCCAAGCTCTTGTTCCTGGTTGTGATAAGGTGAATTTAAGCACTTATTTTCATCAATCTCTAAACCAGAAAATAATTGGTATTTGGTAAAAGGTTTTAGTTCTGACAGCTTCATGTGGCTTGATTGAGAAACAGGTAACTGGAAAGGCCCTCGTGTTGGATGAAATTATCAACTATGTCCAGTCCCTACAAAATCAAGTGGAGGTTTATTTTTTCTTTATCTTTTATCTTTTTTTTGTGTTTATACTATTTTCTATAAAGTGAAATTTACTAAGCGATTTTCTTATTTCCTCATTTTTCAGTTCCTCTCAATGAAGCTTGCTACTGTGAATCCCATGTTCTATGACTTTGGTATGGACTTCGATTCTTTCATGGTTAGACCTCATCAGGTACAGACACGACTCACTAGGATGCAGTTTGATACCGTTCAATTCAATAGAACTGGACAAGATAAAAAAAAAAAAAAAAAATGCGCTCGTGACAAGTTCGTCAGTTGTATTGATAGTTATATCATAATTTTCTCTAATTTTTTGTTTTTTGTTTTTAATATTGTGATTATTCAGAGTTTAAATAGCTTGGCGTCAAATCTGCAAACTGTGCAACAATGCAGCACACAGTCACCAGTCATTCGTGAGACGGACACAGCACCCAATTGCTATTCTCTTCTTGATAGTTCATCCCCACTTTTATTTCAGCTGGCCCATATGCCAAATACTCTCCCACAGGTACATATTTATTTATGTTTTTTGTGACTACAGTATAATGTAACATGTATCATACTTTGTCATGTGGTCGGGAAATAGATAAAAATATATTTAAAAAATAATTTTTTTGTTCAAGAATGAATTTTAATAGGACTGTCAATATCCTACTCATCCTTCCTTGCTGAATTGCATGGAACCTAGTTATATTATTCATTTATCTCCTCCATGCAACTCATATGTAGTATCAGCTTTAGAAATTGCTCAAATGATAACAGGATTCAACTTAAATCTCTCATAAGACGGATATTAGTGATTCGAATCTTGAGGAACTTGATGAGGGGTAAGATGGGAGAATCGATTCTTAAGGAACTTGGTAAGGGGCAAGATGGGTATAAGCTCTCCCAAAACGAATAATACATATGAATTAATAACTTGGGCACATGCCCGAATCGTTACATTATGCAGATATTTATGTATCGTATTCGTTTCATTAACTGTTGCTTTGAAAATTGGAATTATGGCTTAATCCTTAACTGTCATAATCTGTCCCCTTCTTAATTCGATAAAATATATATTTATATTACGTCTAACATGGACAAAATTATCATTTTCAGGGTGATGGACAGCTCTTATGGGATGTGGATGACCAAAGACAAAAATTTATTAATGAGATAGGGTTCAGCAACAACTTGTGTTCATTTCATTAAAAATTTTGTCTAACTTCTTGTTCATTTCATTTGGTAAACACTCAATCATTGTCCAGAATATATATTGAAATCTCCTTGCCGCCCATTTATATAAATTTTATAGGTCGAACATTTGATAAAATGAGTTGATATGACCTACAAGTGTAGGGACGCGTCAAAAATCAATGTCAATTTATCCTTTTAGATGAATTAGTTTAACGTTTTATGCTGAATGAATCTATTCAGGTTGTAAGGAATTAGAAATTGCACACGCAGAAATGGATGTTATTCCCAAGTATCAAATAGTAATGGAGAACAGGAGAAGGTGGCAGTCGATGAATAAAGAATATGAAGAAGCAAAATCAGTGGACATTTACAACCGTCCAATGAGATCAGATTTTATTTTTCCCATCAGATCCTTTGTTCTTGTCCAATCCTAAAAGTATATGGGAGCATAAATTCCTGCAAATATGTTCCATGGATTGACCAAATTATATTGTAAAGATTAATCCCTTGTTTGAGCCACATTATTGTAATGAAAATGCACTATTGAATAATATATTGATGAAAAATGTTTTGAATTTGTATGTAATATTATTTTATTAAAGAATGTGTTATTGAAATTATGTCTAATCACTATTGAAAAATATATTTTTTTTCAAATAATGTGGCTCAAACAAAGCCTTGGACATTGACGCTGGTTGTATGATAAAAAAGTAAGTTTTATAAAAGTTTTAATTAATAGCATAAAGTTATAAATAATTAAGTTTATTTTTGGCATGACTTTTGGGACGTCCAAATGATCTTTTGAGATCCAAAGCTGCTTTCGGTCCCATTTGATTATTTGTATATAAGTGTTTATCATAGTTAAAAGATGTTTTAAAGAAAGTCGATACAATATGACTTTCCCTAAAATTTCTTTCGGAAGAGGAAGTTATTTTAAAAATTACATTCCAAACATTAATTAAGGTAACTTCCTCATGAAATTCTTCAGTAATAAGCATAAATAAAATCAGAAACCTTGTCAAATTGTCTAAATTGTTTATCATGATAGTAATTAGAGTATTTCCATCTATTTATAAACGTGTATTATCTATAAGGGTTATGCTATATGTACATTATGATATCTATAAATGTGTCCATAATTTACAAGTGACATAACATCATTGGAGATTGAAAATTAGTTTTTTTTTTTTTAACCCTCCAATCATGAAATTCCACATGTACATTATGGACACCATTATGGATACCATAATGTACATGTAGAATTATCCTATCTACAATGTGTTTAGTCAACTTGAAAATTTATTTGCATATTCTAAATAGTTCCCTCTCAAACAAAGTATTAATCATCGTGGTCTCTCTCGAGAAATATTCTATTCCATCCTCTTGCGCTCTATGAAAGCTCAACTCTTTTACGGAGCAGATTGTGCCATCTCTTGTGGACGCAATCACTTTGAGAACCAATTTAAACTGAATTTTTGGCCATTGCAATCCAACTTGAGCCCACCTTTTTCATTCGACTGCAATTAAAAATTCATCTAAGTGCTTAAATTAATACAAACTAAAAATTTATTTCACATCCCACGTCTAAAAATTAACGTGTGATTTAACCTGAATTGTTTTTACCGTGTTTATTCTGTACCGTTATATTGCAGTTAATTTCACCGTTAGGTTATCTTGTCAATTGACATGACTGGTTATTCGTACATGGTTGCAATTACATTAAATTATTTGTATATGTACCTTGGAATCATTCCGAGTGATAGGCGATATTTCTTAGGTGAATTCTCCCCCTAGGGACCCCTAGTCCTAGAGTTAGAGATGCTTTAGGATAGGGGCTCAGAAAGAAAAGACACCTACTCCTCTCTCTCTCTCTCTCAAGGACACCCATGACCCATCCCCTACTTTATTCTTAAATTTAAGCATTTTTTATTCTCATTACTTTAAAACTCTTTTTTTTTTTTTTTTTTTTTTTTTCAAACTTATTTCTAATCACAAACATTTTGAATAGTAAATTAATGGAAAATATATGATTAAAAATTAAACCCCTATTTGTTTTTTATTCTTTACCCATTTAAATGAAATTTTTGACTGTTATCCATCACATCAAGCCACCAAATTTGAATTTCTATCTCTTATATGGGACCCATAACGGCTAAATTTTTCATTCTCGGGAAACAAACGCTTGCTAAAGAGAAGTTTTGAATTTACGTATAATATTATTTTATTGAAAAATGTGTGGTTAAAAATGAATTTTTTGAAGAATGTGAATCAAACAATGGGTCAAATATTTTTCTCAAATTTTAGTCACACGTTCTCAAAAAATTTACAATTTCAAAACTATTTTTAACGAAATAACGAATAACAAACAGGGCTTAACTCCTTCGGTACAATTTATTTTTTAAACTCATTTTTTCATTTAATTAAACTTATCGCTAGCTTAACAAATATAATTATTATTATTTTCAAATATTAATTTTTATTAAATATAAATCGTAATATAATTTTATTAAAGTTACTTATCTTATCAAATACAATTTTCAAACATTAATTTTAAATAACAAAACTAATTTCTCTATATAGTAAGCTTTTGTTTGATATTCATTAAATTAAATTTTTTTTCAAACTCATTTTTAATCACGTACTGACATAATAAATATTTACCTTTTAACCACCATCAAACGTGCTTTGTACATTTTTCGTTTTCCTAGAGAGGATAAAACTCCTATGTGGCCCTGGTAATATAGTAGGGTTAGGCGGCGTCGAGTATCTATGCTAATAAACAAGATTTTCTCTGTTTTAAAGCTTTTCAAGGTGGCTCAAAATAGTGTTAGAGATTGCCCAACTTTCTAGGGAGAAACACGTAGTTCATTAGTAACTCTTGCATTCATTTTCCTCCATCTGTTAACATATTTCCACGTGTAAGGATCCAATCAATTCTTCGAAAAGAGAAAGAAAGAACAATTTAATCAATGACACAATTGAGATTCAATTATCTGTACCCAATTGGCCAAAGTCAAACTTTTCAATGCAATTAGCTAACTGTACTTAGCTATTATTTTTAATAATGTAAGGTTCCAATTATTTGGATTTGGTTTCGATCTCGATAGGAATGTCAAACGGGTCGAGTCGACGCTCGATTTGTTAAAACTCGGCTTGTGGGCGGCTCGAGCTCATCAAATGACAAGGTCGAGCTCGAGCCTGAGGCCGAGCCGAGCCGAGCCGAGCCGAGCAGGGGCTCAATCCCAAGAGCCGAGCCCACAGCGGCTCGTCCAAAAATATTTTTAAAAAAATTAAAAAAATGTGCAAAAAATAATAATAATAATTAAACAAAATAAAATAAAGCACGAGCTCGTGGATCGTGAGCTCACGAGAGAGCCACGAGCCTGAGCCTCGCTCGTGGGTTAAAGGGCCGAGTCGGCTCGACCTATTGCCATCACTAGATCTCAACAGTATACGGGATTAATTAATGGGGACATTAAGTGTCGAGCATTCAACATATACCCAAAATATATTACTAGCGAGACTAGATTACGTGCAATGATTGACAAATTTCAAAGGAAATATTGAACAATGAACGGTATTAATGAAGAAATAAATTCAATTTTTAGTTATTATAGTATCTAATTTATTCAATATTGGGTACGGAAAGACATATGAGATATACAATGATCCGAATCAAATGCTAATTGCCTAATTTTGGTGTCGTTTCAATTTTCATTTATACTACTATAAGCAATTTAGAGGTACAAAACTCACGGTGTGTGTGTATATATATATATATATATTCATTCTTCCAAATATATGTAAAAACATCACGAAATTAAATTTATTATTACTGGAATGCAAAATTAAAAATATTTAAATGTGATCATAATTAGTTTAAAACACACCTATGCACACACAGAGATCAAGAACAGTCGTCTTCAATAAATTAGAAAAAAAGGCAGTATTGTACGTCATCTATAATTATGATAAATTTGTGACCTTACACAATTTTGTTTGCTTTATATTTTATTATACTGTACGTAATCTATATTTATGATACATTTGTTACCTTACACGATCTCTTTTTCTTTATATTTTATGATACTATAGGTTTTATACATTTGTGACCTTACACAATATCGTTTTCTTTATATTTTATTATACCACGTAATCTATATTTATGATACATTAATTGTGACCTTAGACAATATCTGTCTTTATATTTTATTATGATGACAATTCAGCAAAGAAATAAAGATCAACTTTTTGTTAACCTAGTGTATTGTAACATGTCCAAGTGTTACAAATCCTAAAAACTTAAACTCTCTCCCGATCTCGACCTTCGGATAGAGACAATTCATGTAAGTATGTGCTGGAGGCTTCTCATCGCTTTTATGATGGCAATGATACGCAAGCATGACCACCCATATAATTAAGGAAAATTCTTCAAGTATAGGATTTTTTCACAAATTTTTTATAGGAAGAAAGTGATTTGCTGTGTGCCAAAAACTATTTTTGGCAACAGACAATTACTGGAAGACGACTATAAAAAATCTGTGAAAAAACTCTGTACTTATAACATGTTTCTATGATTAATCAGGATTTGACATTTATGATTATTTTTTTCATATATATGTGTTATTCACTTAGTCTCGTAATAGTTTATCTTTGATACGCTCATTAGTATTGTTAGAATGGACCGACTTGCTGAAGCCAACCTGACCCGCCTGTGAAATGTCCCAACCATGGGGCATGGTCAGTGTGCGCTCTCAGCCTTTTGCTTAATAGTGATCATGTGCGCCATTTTTTTTTTTTTTAATTCCTTTGAATTTCTCCGCTAAAATGTATAGAAAAAATAAAAATAAAAATCTGGGTTCGACTGGCCCGATTCGAGGCTCACCACTTTCTACCGGGCTAGGTCATGCCAGCCATTTGGACCCATGAGTATGAGGGTGTGACCCATGTTTAGTTCTTTTCGGATGAAAAGTAAATAAAGTTTTAATATTAGCTAAATTGAAGTTAAGATAGTGGATTATTCTAAATCTTTGACTAAAATTGGAATCTTGTTTATTTATAACTTTTTTTGGCTTTTGGTCATCCTCGATTTTTTTTAGAAAGACAATTTATAAGTATTTGAATATAACATTTTCAGATTTTCAAGAAACGAAAGTATTCTAATCAATTATATATACAAACTCCAAAGAAGAAAGCATCTTCTTTTAGAAAAAGTTCTACTTTAGACATTGGGTAACTTGACGTGTACTTGCACTAATTTACTATCGATGAAAGAAAAATATGTCCCTATTTAATTGTCATTATTTTGAGAAAATTTGATTTTTGAATAGTAATTTTTGGAAAATTGTAATTAAAAAGTTGAAAAAAATTGGGTTTACGTGCAAAATATTATTGTATAAATGCTTAGTTAAAAAAATATGACAATTAAAGAGTTTTTGAAATAATGGTTGTCAGTCAGGGCTAACTAATTTAGAATAGGCAGTGGCGTTATCGTTATATATATATATATATATTCGAAGTGGGTCTTACTTCATATGAGGGGATAGATATCGATAGGGGTAGGTGCGGGTCGGTTAGAA